CCTTTGGGTCATGCTCCGGTCCATTTGCTCTGTTCTCTTCGGAACAGATGAATCCAGCCGCAGTTACTGCAACTCACTACAACTCGGTGGACGGGACATTGTTTACAATGTCTACTTGCGTATTTTAGAGCACTAATTATCCAGCAGAAATACCAGTGACAATTCAAGTAACAATTGCTAGTATTTCGAAGGATTTTAAGATTTTTTCACAATATAGGCAAACGTGAGCATAACGCGTTATTTACGAAGCAGCTTGTATATCCTGAGGTTAATTTGGGATTCGGCTTGCTCCTCCATGCTTGAGTTTGCTTTCGGATTAGGCCAAACCTTATCCATCCTGTTTCTCCCTAAAATACATACATTCAGCACAACCTGACACTCTCTCCTACCTGGTAGAAGGCCTCGAAATGCTGCACTTGTGACAGCAGAATGCGAAGCCATCTTATATTTTTCGATTTCTTTTCTAGCACAAGTGGTGCTAGCCGCACCAAGTGAAGAGCAAAAGATTTAGGCTGGAGATCTTCCAATTTCTTCACAACAGAAGAATTGTTAGTGACGGTCACCTAGTATCCGTTTCTCACAGGCAAGCCAACGATAAATATATCGACACCGTAGAAACCATTCAAATATGTATCGCATCAGAGTTTCTCCATATTCCAACCGCGCATGGCTGTCAGATATGACACTGTGCAAAATCCTCTTTTTTGGAGTTCTGGTTGTCCCAAATTTAACTTCTGGTTATGGAAACAACTAGAGATCTGTAGGCGTATGCGGACTCGACTGTGGGAACTGCCAGCCTATCCTCGAGCCCTTGAACTACGGGCTTCGAGAGAGGGTTAGTTGCAGCGGATTTATAAACCACTGAATACAGAAAAAATGGGAAATAGTAAACAGAAACCATCACTCGGGGAGGGATTCCTCACGCTCCTCATCTAATGCTTTGTTTATGTGACTACCTGACTTTCAACGGTCACTTTAGAATTTGTCTGGCTTCTGTACACGTGAGCTGGCCTTAAGGCCATGCTCAGGCTCCATTTGCTCTGTCGTCTTCCGAATACATGTATTCAGCCTCACTTATGCCTTTTACCATCCCATGGGAAGCCTCGAGACGCTACAGCTCACGCTTCGGATTCGCGTTCGAATTCGCTTTCCGCCTCTTCCCTATAAGGGTCAACATAAACACTCTGGCATATATTACATCGATTTTCTGCTGTCAGATCAAGTGTAACTCCAAATCCAGTTGAGGCAGGCAAGAGAGACAAGTGCGATCCCTCAGTCTCACTGTACTTAATGTCTGACCCGTAAGCGTCGAAGACATTGCTAAAAAAAAAGGGAGTGACAATTAATTTGGTGTGTGTCTAGCCCTTGTATGCCTAGACTAACCTTCAGAACACGCCAAGGGCCAGTTTCTTCTTATCCTCAAAAATAAATAACTTATGCTATACTTAATGCCTTCTTCTGCTCATTTAAAAATCTTGATGCGCTACTTGAGGGTTGCATAAGGTCCGAGACTTTCCGCTTGTAAAGAGAGGGCATAAGTGTTCTGCGAACACTTGTATTCGGAACGAAAAAGTTGAAATGGTGTTGTGGCCTGGCCTGAAGAACATTTCAAACGACAAAACCAAAATGAGTAATATACAAATCAAAGTCAATTCCATAATTTATCTTAGTGCTGTTGACGTTGGGATAAGCTAACGCTAAATTTTTCGCTTACATTAACAACTGCATATCACATTGACATGCTTATCCTGACCCATAGAAACAATATCAGCCATATTTAGCCCACGCTATACTTGAGACTAATGCATTATGACCATCGCAGCTGCATGCAGAGACTCGCTACAAAGCTTTGAATGTGCTTGTCGCGACAAGACAATTAATTTTGAAACCATTCAGCATATGCTTGATAAGCTGTTCTTAGTAAATGGCGAGGTTCCAAATGATCTGGAATCTCTTGAACTTCTGGACGCCTTTGCTGACCACTTCACAACGACATGTGAAGAAGAGGTCCGCAGAATGGTTTTTCATCTTCTTTTCCCCTGTGGGTTTAATGTCAATCCACTCCGAGAACAATTTTTAGTAAGGTTGACTCAGTTGGCTATATGCGTTGGTTTGACACCTCTACTCGACTTGGTTGCGGTGTGGTTAAAGGTAATTTTGTACATTTTTAATCTGCTTAGGGGCAAATCTTCTTAGTGATTCAGTCGCTATCATCTTCAAAGGATTATTGTCTTTTGGACGAAAGACTAGTCGAAGCTGCTCGACCAGTCTCGAGTTTCATTCGACGTATATTTGATAGCTTGATGACTGTCGATGGGATGTCCGAAGTCTGTAAAAGTTTGCATGAGAATGGAGACTTTTCTGACACTGCTGTATTTGACAAACCTTTTATCAATCTTCTTCGTCTGTCTCCTCTCTTCGTCTCAGCCCTCGTTTCGGGCGTTACCTTAGCCTATTCAACACCGTTTATCCAAGGTAAGTTGTATCCAAACGTGAGTAAATCTTAGGCGAGAAGGAGTTGTATCCGCCTCCACTAGTAATCGAAATCTTAATTATCTGGCTGAAAAGCAGTCAGGCACAAGTTGTTCGTCAGGACTGGACTGCAGTCGACTGGAAAACGTTCTTCCTAAACAATCCGCCTCGATTTCTCGACATGTCCAAAGTCAAGGGTCAAGATTGGCCTCTTCTTCTAGCCGAAGCATGGCATCCTGCACGTGGCCTTGTTTGGCTGACCGTTTTGTCATCAAATTGGTATAGAAATTTTTGCAATTTTGACTTTCCTCGACTTCGAACTAATCTGAATGTTTTTCCGTCATAGTCAGGACTTGAGTGAACCTGTCGCTTCTCTACTAGCCGAACTTCATTGTGAGTTACTTGAGGTGAGATGTTGAGACATTAAAAGCAATTTGAGACCAGTAGTAGATATCAATTCATCTGTTTTAGAACTTTGGGACTCCTCTGAATCGTGCAAAGCATTCACGAAGTTCGAGTAGCATGACCTCGGACATGGCGCCTACTATGTGGAGATTAAAGTTTCCCACAGAAATAGAGCCCTTATTATGTCGTTTTGGTGCAGTTTTTGCTGAAAATGCCTGCTCAGAACTCTTCCTCATCCGAATATCTGAGCTGTTGTTTATATGTTGGCGAAGTGGTCGTCTGCTCGAATGCGATTCCGGTGCGTTGCCTAGTCCTCTGGTTTTCGAAAGCTATCCTTTTATTTTGAATAACTTTGACGTGCTTATATTTTTAGGTGTTGTATCTAATGCTCTCAGGCCCTTTTCATCGGAAAGGATAATACAAATCTTGCAGCAGGGCTTACGTATTTAGAATGTGCTACATGTGCAATAAAAAAGTGAGCTTGAAACCTGGGTTTTCTCGTGAGGACCCTGATGGGAACCATTTCCACTGTGTACTGATGTGAGTCCAACATCTGACTCAGTTATGGCAGCGCGGCTCGAATCAAGTTAACAATTGGAATTACTGTGTTGGTGCTCTTGATATTTCTCTGTTTTTACGAGGGGTGGTGAAAATGATTACCTGGATGGCTGCTTCAGTAATTTGGCTGTTAGATCCGAAGTTCGCAGTTGAGTGTGGCGAAGCTCAAGCTAGTTTGAACATCTTCATCACCTAAATGCTTAACAGTGTGAAGGATAAGCTTTTTGCTGAAAACCTAGCATAGTAGATAGCCCTCCTGAGGTACCTCTACCTTTCAGCCACCTTGAGCGCAAAACCACAGGAGCAGGATTCTCTGCATTTTGTTGGTGGCTCCGAAGCGTGACTAGTACCGCTGACACAGGCTCGGAATCCCAGAGGTAGACCTTTGGCACTATCGAATGGAATGTTTGAGTCGCAAGAACCCCCTATCCCGGTTACTTGGAGGTTATTTCCCAAAGGTGTTTTATTTACTGCACTAGAGTGTCGCAAACCGGAGGAATAAACATTTGCCCACCTCAGCGTATTGTAGGATACCTTCATACAACTGAAACTCAGGCTCAAGTAAATATTACGCGGAAGTTCTATTATACCGAGAATCTCACCCTTCCACGCTAAACACGTTGCGACGACTATAAACGTCATTTCGTCGACCCACCAAACGTTAAGAGGTCGTAGTAGAAATGAGAAAAAACTGCACTTCATAAGTCGGGAGAAAAGCTGCTCCAGCATATAACGACTTCTTCAGCGTCTCAAAATCTCCACACATAATAAGGGAACTACACCGAAACTAGCTTCCCATTCTGGAATTACAGACTAAAAGCCTGAGGTTTCGATCAAATCGCATAAAAACAGAGCATGTTCAGAAAATGTAAATCATAACTTTACAGAACAACCTCAGAAACTGTTAAAACTAACTTAAGTATTGTAAAATAATCTCTGCGTTTAAAAAATAATGTGGCGTACAAAATCATATAAGATGCAAGGTCGCAGCGCCTGAAAGTATGTGCCCCTCTTAGACCGCTCTACTGCTGTGAAGAAAAAAACAAGTACTGGGGAAATTGGCTAAGATTCACGAAACTTTTCTACATTTACAAAGCACTCAACATGCTCTCGTAGGCCTCCATAGTGATCTGGGCTTCAACCTTCTTTTCCTCTGATGGGGCGGAAGAGAACTGAGACTGAGCTTTGGCCAAGTTATCACGAACTAACTGAGGATCTATTTTCTCTAAAGGAAAGCATTCTTCAGCCAAAACCTGGACTGTGGAGTCAGCATTGACTGTAACCATTCCACTGCTAACTATAATAAAAAAGTAAGAAGTGACTTCAAACTCAGTCAAAAAGCACATCGTGGGAATAAAGGCTCATTATTTTTTTACCAAAATATTTCTTGATAGCTCCATCTTTCTCAGTCACAGCAACTACTCCAGGACGGAGAGTAGCAATAGTGGGCACATGTTCTGGAAGAATACCAAAAGCACCAGAGCTGCCAGGTATATCTATCTGCTTGACTTCAGCATTGTTGTAGAAGACAGAACGTGGACATGCAAACGTCAAATGAAGTTCAGAACTCAGATTTGAAGAGGTAGAAATACCTCTATCAATGAATGAACGATAAACACGAGGAAGCAGACGAATGAAACGCTAGAAATGACTCACATACAGAATAGTAACATACCATCCTCCGTGCCGTTTAACCAACCCGGAGCCTATATCTATCAACTTAAACGAATTGAACGTCGACCTAATCATAATTAGGTGTTCATAGTGCTATAGTGAAAACTCGCATTATCGGTCTTTATTTATTACCTTGACTCACAGGCCAAAGTGGTGTCATCTTTATAGTTGGCCTGTAACGCTAGATTAGCTCGTTGCTATTTCTAAGAGGTAATCGTAAATGTAGGAACTGCCTGCCTAACCTCAAATCCTTGAACCATGGACTTTAAGTGAGGATTAGTTTCAGACGATTTATTATGCATTGAATAAAGGATGGATGAGGATAGGAGTACAGATAAGACGAGTAGATGATACCACCCGGAGAGAGATTCCTCACAGTCCTCGTGCATGGGATTCGCGCTTAAATTCAGTTCCCGCCTCCAGTACATATTACAATAAATACCAGTTCTAGTGTTGCTTCCTTAAAGCATGCGTAAGTCTTGCACTTATTAAGGCAAACTAAAATAAATTGAATTAAGTCCTTGTTCAGATACTCAAGCTCCTCAACGAGAAATGCTCGTAGCTTCTAAGAGGATCATAGCCTTTAGCTGAATGCAAATATTTTGTAGAAGGGAAGGGTTTTGAGACTTTCGATGTAGATTAGGGGTCAATCCACGCCACTAGGCCAATATGACCCCAAAATGTCCCTAGACTTCACATAAGGTAGTAAAGAGCATTGAACCTGTGTAAAAACCTTTGATGGAGAAGAGGGAAAGACGTAGTGCTTTAGCTTGGCCCAAGAGCCACTTCACCCAGTAAATGCAAGTTGACAACAAAATTAAACGCCAGTTATACAAGCAGTTGTGTAAACAGTATATCACAGCCGCCATATTGACTAAATTGTTACCCATATTCGAGTAAAGAGTACGTTTGAATTATGTTGTGTAAAACACTTTGTAAATAGAATACAGCGAAGTAACTTGTAGCATCCTGAGATTTCTCACCGAGTGGTAATGAGTTGCAGTAAGTGCGGCTGGATTCATCTGTTCCGAAGAGAACAGAGCAAATGGACCGGAGCATGACCCAAAGG